TAGAAAAATATATTATGGCCTATTAGTTTTAAATTATTTTAAAGTTATGTATCATCTTTTACCAAAAAAAAAAAATTGTTATTTAATTAGGCTCCGTGATCCTTGCAGGCACGGACTCGCTCCAAGGAGCTTTCTGCGACTCTTAATGAGCTCCTAGTTTAAATGCTATTTGAAAGTAAAAAAGGAAGAAGATCCTAAAAAAAAAATAATAAAAGCTTGGCATTTTGATCTGGGATCCTGTAATAACTGAGGTACGCTTGTGATAACCCAGTCCCCACAGATATCGTGTTCTTATATTCAACAATTACCAAATATTTCTAATTTCGTTTTAATTACAGCGCACCTTTTTACATACACGTTACTCTATAGAGCCATAAAAGTAACTTTTAATGATCCGGTAATTACGCAACAACTCATTTACACTTGACCATCAATTTCCCATGGCAAAGCGAATGACATCTTGCGGAGCGATCTTGCACGTAACAGTTCGAAACGGAGAGACTTCAATAGACGCGCAGGCGAGCAACGTCGCCCGAACTGCCATCGATTTCCGCATAGTCAGAGTCGCTAAACGCTGTCACATTTACCGTGGAAGCCATACCTTAACCGTCATTAACGGCCGGGTTTCCGCAAAGTTTTGTATGAGAAAACGCATTGTCCTATACAGGCGCGAGATTTATTATGGCAATTATCGATTCTAGTAGATATCGGGCGTAAAAGCTTGTATTAAATAGGTGCCCGCAGGAATCTGTAGTTTTATACGCTTTTATGCAGATCGAACACAGCGCCGAGGAGTATTTTGTTATTGTTCTGCAAACCGCACGAGAATTTATTAGTCGTTCACATTTATCCAGGTTGCGGTTTCTTTAACTTTATCCCAGTTTTAGTTCTAAGTTATTAGGTTATTAACTTTATAGTTTATTATTGTGTGCTTTTTTGAATACTTGCAGGCTGGAATGAGATAACATTCATTTTATTTACGAAAAAAATTGAGAACCAATTTACCAACTAAAATTTTGAACATGCCGATTGCCTATGATTTACGTACAATAATAATTTTAGTAGCATATATTTTGCTTTGTTTTGTGTAAAAATAAATCAAAAAATATCTTCAAATTTATTACTGAAACGATTTTTATTAGCTTAGTTTTGGTTAGTACCAAATAAATCCCTTTTGGGAGGGGGGGGGGTTAGAACTTTATATCGCCTACACTTATTTTAAAAAAGCGTTATAGTATAATTCTGCAGAGTCATATGTTTATTAATAGTGTGTGTGAACTTTCCAAAGAAATAATGAAAACTTGGCATTATACAACCACACCTATTGTTAATTTCTTTGTGTAAGGTGTTTCCACGTTGCTTCAAAAACACACGAAACATGAGAAAATGTATTGCTAATTTCTTTTTAAAGGTCGGCTAGACTAAAAGCTAAAAAGGAAAGCAAGAATGTAAATTGATCCCAGAAACTTTGGCTTATAAATAATATCGCTCTTTGAAAATATGTTAACCTCACAAACTTTAGCAAATAATTTGATTTCAATGAGTGAATTAAGCAAAAGTAAATGTAAATGAAAAAGGTTTCGAAATTTGGATTTTCTTGAACATTTTTTTGTATTTTCAATATTGAAGGATGAAGCAATTAAAAATAAAAGCTTTGCTATATGTATTTCATACTGTGCGGCAACAATAATAAAACAAATTGAAGGCACGCAAAAAAAATCACTATCACGTCCTAAATCGACAAAGAATGCAAAACAATATACAGTGCGAATCTCTAACCCGGAATAGGTTAAGTAAATCAAATATTCTTGTTATACATATCTTGAACAGTTTTCGAGAAAATCTTTATTACAGTCATATTTGAACTTGTGGTTTACGAAAGTCTTAATAATTTTCTACAGACAAGTAGTTCAATCTTTAATATACACGGACCTTATATCGGTGAAAACACCAATAATTAAAATTTCATATTTTCAAATGGTGTAAAATATTGTCAATTAACAATTGAGTAAACTTTTCCCTCCAATATGAGTTTCTTGAACACAAGACATGTATTAATAATAGCCCATTAATTAACTAATTTTCTAGATTTTCTATATTTAATTATCAATTAATTTTAAATAATTAATTTAAAAAAACAGGTGACAGGTTTCCCCGAAAATGGCACATGGCAAACTACACACGTTAAATTTTATCAATAAAGAAAACTCACCAACAGAAACCAAAAACAAACCAAACACATGAACAACTATAGTATAATGATAATAATGATAATAATAATAATAATAATAAAAATAGAGAAAAATAACAAAATAAAATTCAGAGCCATCTATTTAAATATGTCACAATTTTCCAAGCGTCGTCAAACCGTTATTCTGTCAAACTGTCAAAAATAAAATGAGAGTTAGATCAGGATTTCTGTTTTTGTCAAAAGTGTTTCTTGTATTGCCTATATTTAACCTCAGGATCTAAGAGAATGGAAGAATTTTTCATTGTAATTAATATTTTAATAGGAACATGATATATCATTTAAATCACCTTGTATAGTGCTTCAATTAAAAAAGAAACTTATAAATTCTTGTTGCTGGAATATAAACATAGGCAGGGTCACTAGTGCAGATTTTTATAAGATGATTGCCATCCGAGTATATAATTCATTATTTCAATCATTTAATTGCCATAGTTCCTTACTCATCCCGCATAATTGTGCGAAATATCTGTCTCCGGTCGTTCGACTTTTTAACGACAAGCCGCTGGCCAATTATAACTCTATTCCCGATGCAAATATATGCAAAACGGCTGTGTCCCTGACAATTGTTACGATTTACGACGGGCGCAGTTCAAGTCATTAGCGATTCGTCATATCGCAAGCCGACTAAGTACACCATTGACACGGATCGTTGCAAATTCGTTAGATCATTATTGAGATTGATCGGCTTTCCTATTAATAAAAGTGTCGTGTGGTTATGTTTCACGCTTTAAATTTACTAGACCATAGATCAAGAAGAACTTTCAATTCTTCCATTAACTGCTATTTGTTTAGCTATATTTTTACTTTTTGTTTGCAATTGTTTTAATAAGTCAATATAATAAAGCAAATCTGCTTTTGTTGGGTTTAATTTACAAATAAATCTTGCCAATGTGATATCGAGTATAACGGAAAATTTAATGTATTCTAACTAGTGTGTAAAGTAGGTATTTAAATTAAGATTTTAGGTATTAAAAACGTGGATACATTTTCAGAATGTTCTTTCAGTAATTTTAAGAAAAAACGCATTGTTTTCGGAACTCAAAATTTTTGAAAAACCATATCGACTTTAGAGTAGATTAGAATTAGATTAAAATAAACTAATAAGAGTTAAAAATGAAAACGTGGTTTTTACAGGAATTTTTAATTTTTTATCTCGGAAGCGAAGATAGATTTTCAGTTGCATCATCCGCAAACACCCCAAATACAAAAAAAAGTATGTGGATATTCGCGAAAATCCATTTTCCTTTATTAAATTTTGCATTTTTCCTTTACAATGACTCACAGAAAAATAAGTCTAAAAACATACAATACATTAATGCACTTTTGATTGAAAATCGCTCATTGAAAACACTTATGAACTAAAGTAAACATATTCTTAAAAATTGATATGCCAGATGCAACTATTGCTTTTCCAATAGGGCCAAATTTACTCTGCAAGGCTTACTCAGGCTACCAAATCGAGCGATATCACTTCTAATGATTAAACGATCGGAAAGGTGAAACCATTAAATATGCTAATTCAGTTTACGATATCAATGCACAAGGAATGCATTATACTTTTGTAGAAAGCCGTGTTATTGCCCCCTTACTTCTGGGTTAATGCCGAATTTACCTCGGTCGTTATTGATATGGAAAACAAATTTAAATAATTGCACCATTTGACATTATTGCAAGGGATATTGGGATAACTAATCTGCATTAAAATAGATTTTATGGCCTGAAAGTGCAAGTTTCTCGCTGTTAGTCACCAGGAAAGGCCTGATGGTGTTGTTAATCTTAAGGATTTAATTGACGGCACCCATACACACCCAATGCTGTATTGTCATTTTTACACCTCTAATACATCCCTAGTGTTGTCATTATAGATTACAATAACAGCAGCCATTGTCTACTTGTCTTCACCTTGTTTAAATAACGTGTGCAAACACCTGTTGCAGTCGACTTGTCTAGCTCTGCTGCAATGTGTGCAAAAAGGGGGCGGTAACATCATGCATGAACAAACAACAAATTATTATCATCTAACAACCATTACAGAAACATTAAACATATTGCGTTTTAAATGAAATTTTATAAACATTTCTTAAATTTAAATAATGGAATATACAGACGTTTTATACGTACGTTTTATATATTTTACATATTTGCTGTCCCTGTCTTATTACATTGATTACTAATTAAAATTGTTTGTGTTTCTTCTTCGGGTTTCATATATTTTATCTTTTCCAGATATTTCTTTTACCCATCTACTTTTTGTTATCGGTGTAATTAAATAAGTGAATGGATTGGCCATCAGCTAAAGAATAAAATAGATAAAAATTCATTAACTTTTATTCATTAATAGGTTTCATATGTTCCTGTTATCTGTACTATCAGTTATAATGATTACATTAGTCATATTTAATTATTTATGTCATTATAACTGAGAGCATCGTTTAAAAGACAAATTTCAAAAATACCCAGTAAGTGGAAGTGAAATAAAAAGAATAAAATTTCATAAAAATATATTTAACTTTGGGCCAATACTAAATTTTCATTTAAAATTTTGTGTTCCTTCTTCACATATTTTATTCTTTTTTAGATGCACAATTTCCCCTATTTATTTGTGAATTTCTTTTAATATATTTTATTATTATAATTTTTTTTTGGTACAAAACATTCGTTTATTGTTTGATATGGATAAAATATTCTTATACTTAAGTACATGAAATGAAATAATTAAAGCTTTGATTTCAGACCAACTAAGACGTACCACCACATGCTCCCTTTCCCCCGGTTCTTGTTCCTCGAGTGGGCCACCATATCACCAACGTTACCGGTCACAAGGTCCACAACGCCCAGTACAATCAGGGCGCTTATCACCGTCCTCGTTATCGCGCAAAAAATCATCGTGAGTGCCCCGAAGATGCCCGACGAAAACGACGCAACCACTACTCACTCACGCAATCACTTACGCGGATGAGACACGGACGATAGCAAAAAATAAACAATATTATCCACCTGAGGTCGAGTATTTACTTTGTGGACCTCCACGATCGGATCCAGAGTAGGGGGATGCTGTCGCGAGGTCGATCTCGCACGAGAAGGCACGAGGGATTCTTTCGAGGAGGAGTCAGTTGATTTGATCCTGGCGACCACCCACCCGCGAGTCCTTTGCTACACTGATCCGTCCACGTGTATTCTTTTGCACGTGGACCGGGGACACGCCTCCGATCGGGGTCCCCACCAATGGGAAATGGATGGCACGCCTTTCGCTCGGCTCGAACATCGTCTGCGTCTGCTCGCCATTGCCTTCAAAAATGCCGCCGGGATGACCTCTAAGGCAACGAAACGTCGAGAATCGACAGGACTCTTTGCGAATTGCGGAGCTTCCTGCTCTTCTTCATCTTTTGATTCGCGCAGTGTATATTTTTCATGTTCGATCGTTAATTTTCACTGATAGAAACTTGGTACAGTAACAGTAAATTCGACAACACGGTGATATATATATATATATATATATATATATATATATATATATATATATATATATATATATATATATATATACAATATATATAATATAACAAAAAAGGTAGATGGACCGTTTTCGCTGAAAATGTGGAGCAAGAGCTAAGAGTAGTAGTATATTTTAGCTATGAAGGAGACGTTCGAAAACTAGCGTTTGAAATAGCGTCTAGAAATAACATCGCTAAGAAAAAAGGACCGTTGGAAAGAAATGGTATTATTGACAAATCCACTTCTAAAAGTTCAAAAGGATAAAGAGTCCTGATGCCGTGCCATATGGGAAACAAATACTGTCGTAAATATGTGTGTTTTAAAATTAGCGTTAAAAATATTTAATGTTATTATGTTCATGGCATAACTAGATAACTTTATTGCATGTATCTTTTGTTTTTGTTTATTTTTTGCTTCTATATAGATGTAGGGTTGTGCCACACGTACTTGAAGCTTGTACCACCGTTTTTATTCATAATCGAGTTGCCATCCTATTTGTCACCGTTATTATTCACTAATTGTAATAATACTATATAGTTTGACAAATAAATTAATATTATAATGTCAAATTGTTCAAATTATTTAATTATATTATTATTCACTATTTTATATAATTTCATCGCGCAATTTTTCGCAATATTTTAGTAGAAAGATTGGTTTTATCGGAAAACGATTTATCTTAGAAAGAAAAACATAATACATGCTCAAAGATTGTTACATAATTAAATTAAAAGTAGCGATTTCTTAGAGCTTTTGGACTATACAAATTAAACAGCCGAATATAATTATTTCGCTAGACACCTTACATACGCTCCCACGTATCGCAAAGTTGCCAAAGGCGAGTAGACTCGGTTACTCTGAAAATGTCCGTCCATGTCCCAGACGGTCACTCACAATAACGCTTTCCTTTTCTTAACACCTGGATTCCGGATCGAATCGTAGCGATCGTAAAAATGTTTATGTTTTGTTTATTACGTTTGTCGATTTAATTTATGTTTTTCTTCATGGTTACAACTCTTATGATTACTTCTAAGAACCAGAATTACCCAACGGACTCATCGACGAGACCCCTTTCCCTTGTATTTTATATTTGCAATAAAAATTTTTAATATAACGTGAAAATTAAGATTGTAACTTAAAAAATCACTTTCTTCGGGTGACCATTAATAAAACAAAAATTTCAAAACATGGCTTGATTTTGTTTGCGACTGCAATGGGTACAAGAATACTTTAAAACTGACTTATTAATGTGCATGGTGGCGTTCTGTACTAAAGTTTTGTGTCTAGAACCAAATACAGTGTGATAAATCCGAATTGAAATCTTAAAAGAGCGTTTTTGAAATATTCTTTTATATTCTTTTTGGTTTTATTAAGCATAAAGGAATCACAAAAAAAATGAGAAAAATAATACCAAAATTTAGGTACATTTAAAATATGAAAATATTTACATTATATACAGGGAAGGATAAAAAATATAAATATTGCATACTCATTTCAAAATTGTATTCAAAAGTACAATTTAGCACAAGTGTAATTAAAAAAATTAGCAAAACAGATATACCAAGATAAAAAAATAAGTAACAAAGCATTACTAATTGTTAACTTGCAATTTTTTTATTGGAAATAATTATTATTACAAAAATTTACCAATGAAGAGAAACATGTAATTGCAGATAACGATAAACAATTTCCTAAAATAAACATTAATATTAATATTATCGACTGATCTTAATCACACAATTTAACAAAATAGTAAAAATAACAAACGTGAAAATTTAAAGCACTTCTATGGTATCCGCACTACCACCTATTACCTTAATAACATATTTTAAACCGATTTGTAACAACAATTTTTTTAAATTTTTATAAAACTTCTTTTCTAAGGGGACACGTTTTTAATTAAATTTTAGTCTTTTAGTTATCCTAGTCCCAGATCCCAATTAGTAGATAGCTCTTTCCTAGCACACAAAATATGTTAGTGAGTAAATGTAAAAACACTCTTTTGATTTGCAACTAATTATTCCTCCAAGAAAGCAAGTTAGTTATAAAGTCTACCTTAACAACCTTGGAAATGGCGTCTGTGAGTTGTAAGGAAATAGCAGTTTCCACTGTCAAACGCACGTTACCTTATTAGGTGTGTTATGTCGACAACCGGCAAGCGTCGCTTGAAAAATCCACTTGAGCTTATTTAATATCTCTCCAAGTGTTTGTTTGGGTCGGTGCAAAACACTTGAACGCTTTGACAGCTGGATTGCTACACGCATCTCTACTTAGCCAACTGCGAACCATGAACCGAAACGTCACGACAATGTTCAGTTATTTACACGCGGAAATGGTCTTTCAAAACGTTCTTTTTTTTATGTTATCATTCTCGGTAAACCTAAATTGTTCGACATTTTCCAAATTAGCAATAATTTGCTTCAGCTTCCGCTTCTTTTCAGCATGGAGTGCTTGATTGCCTTGGTTATTTTTTTAAATGGGTTTCTATAAAAATTTTGGAGGAAAGTGAGAATTATTTATTGTACTCACACCTCAAATAACCCCAAAACAGGTGTTTTTTTACTTTAAGCAAGAGTTTATTTGATTTGTAAAAAATAAAGACGGATAAACGTACCAAATAGAAATAATACTTTTTTCTTCTTGTTCTTTCACCACTTTTCCTAACAAAAAGACAAAACAAACGACTAAAACCTAATTTAGTTTTTCTTCTTACCTATCACTCATTTGAGTTTTTTTAAATGTACATTTAATTTTGACAAGCATTTGAAAACCATTTTTTAAAAATGGAAATGATATAGAAGCTTCTAAAAATTAAACAAAACTAATAAATAGAAAATAACTTAATTAACTCTCTCGTTTACTAAATACTCGCTTCACTCGTGTCAAATAAACTCGTGAGTCAAATGACGTTTACCGCACTTGTTGCATAATATGCTATTAAAGTTCCTAAATTTATAAAAGCACGAAAAATGAATTTTTGATAGTGTAGGAGGATTTAGTATGATTTGCAGTGATTTATAATGATTCATGGGAATTTCGATCAGCTGGTTATATAACCGAACATTTCGCGCAAACTGAATTGTAATTTATATAAACTTATTGATAAATTATTGTAATGAAACCCAAAAGGAAATTGCAAAACGTATTAATCAAAATGATATAATAATAATAATAATGATATGAATTTATTAATCCAAAATCAAAAGCTGACTAAATCTAACTCTGTCTTTAAAGAAAAGATCTTTTAATGATGATATATGAATGATGATGAATAGATGAGTTAGTTCACATGATCCCGCAGGCCACAGAATGGAGTGTTTAGTTTCAATTCAACGTTGTCCAAATTGTTCATTTAAAAGGTCACTTTCGTTGTGAGCTTGGTAACCATCTTGCTTATAATAAATACTCCTTCCAAGAAATAATTCTATGTCTTCCAAAAATAGAACAACACATGCTTGCAAAGTATTTATATAACCATCAGCAGCCCGATTTTAATTAAAAAAATAAAGTCCGACAAATCTATCTCGGACAATTTCCGCACATACGGCCCAAAGCGACGTTGCCGATTTTGATACACTCCAGCGTGAGGATTTCCTGGGCTTCAGCTATAAGAATTGTATCTGTTAAATATTTTGGATCAGTCAATTCTCGCTTCATCACTCCAAGCAATAGACAATGAAAGATTAATGTTCTCATTGCATTTACTGATAAACCATTTGCAAAATTTTATTCTTCTACCCCTTCATGTAATTGGTCGAATTTCCTGATAAAATATGGCTTGATTTTGTTGCGTCAGCAAGTGCCCGTGAGCACATGTTTGCATTTTCCAATACTTCTCCAATTATAAATAAAGTTCATTGGCAACCTCTGGTTTGACAAATCGTAACAGTTTATCATATCATACTTTTCGTAATTTTGGTATATTTTAAATTGCTAAACGAACTAAAAGTGAGTATGGCCTCTAAAAGTATGACATTGACATTGACATTGAATATGCACGGCCCACTAATGCAAAAACAAAAAATGACTAAGCAACTATGCCATATAAAATAAGAATAGTTTATGTTAATTTATCAATATATCATCATATTTCGATTGTTTTATTCACTTATGAGAAAACGGACAACTGTAGTTCAAATCAGAGTACATCATTGCATTCGCCTTTAAAAAAAATACGAAAAGAGCCGAAAATTGAAAAACGCCCTATATCTCGGTTGGTAGCAAACATAACGTCATGCGGTATTAACAAATGTCTCGCAAAAATCGAGCCCTTGACATCTAACCCGATTTTTACTCTCTTCTACTCTATTCGGTCCAGAAATAGGATTTCAAATAGTTCCAGTGTGAGTATATAAATTTTAGGGTAGAAGATGCTCATCATTTTCCCAAAGAGCAACGCAATTGTCTTATTGCCGATGTA